ATTCACCGCCAATGTTTATTGGCGACGGATAGAATCTGTCACCAATAAGTATTAGCGACGAAACATTGGTGACGGATCACATTCGTCGCCAATACTTATTGGCGACAGATTCGATCCGTCGCCAATACTTATTGACGACGAATTCAATCCGTCGCTAATAAGTATTGGCGACGGAACATTGGCGACGGATTGAATCCGTCACCAATACTTATTGGTGACGGATCGAATCCGTCGCCAATAAGTATTGGCGACAGATTTGTTCCATCGCCAATACATATTGGCGACGGAACATTGGCGACGGATCAAATCCGTCGCCAATAAGTATTGGCGACGGATTCGATCCGTCACCAATGTTCCGTCGCTAATACTTATTGGCGACGTGACAGATTCGATTCGCCGCCAATACTTATTGGCGACGAATTCGATCCGTCGCCAATAAGTATTGGCGACGGAACATTGGCGACGGATCTATTCCGTCGCTAATATGTATTGGCGACGCAACATTTTCGTCGTCAATACTTATTGGCGACGAATAGAATCTGTCGCTAATAAGTATTTACGACGGAACATTGGCGACGGATAGAATTCGTCGCTAATACTTATTGGCGACGGATAGAATTCATCGCCAATGTTTATTGGCGACGGGTCAAATCTGTCGCCAATAAGTATTGGCGACTAAACATTGGTGACAGAACACATTCGTCGCCAATACTTATTGGCGACAGATTCGATTCGCCGCCAATACTTATTGGCGACGAATTCGATCCGTCGCCAATACTTATTGGCGACAGATTGAATCTGTCGCTAATAAGGATTGGCGACGAAACCGCCATTACTTATTGGCGACGGATCTAATCCGTCGCCAATACTTATTGGCGACGGATTCTATCCGTCGCCAATGTTGTCCCGTCGCCAAAGGTTATGGGCGACGGAAAACATTAGCGACGGATTGAAATCGGTCGCCAATACAAACATTGGCGACGGGAACAACCCCGTCGCCAATGTTCCGTCGCCAATGTTTGTATTGGCGACGGATTTCAAATCCGTCACCAATATCCCGTCGCCAATACTCAGTTTTCTACTAATGACACTTTTATAGAAGTATAAGATAAGATTAGACGTACTAGACGGGCCACCATCCTATACTTATCATTCCGATGTATACGTGGCGTGTGAAAAAGGATGCTAATGTGTCATGCCAGCTCCTGATGATGACATGACAGCTGCCATCTAGTGGTCATTTAAACCGGCTATTACAATTTTACTAAAACAAATTCCAACGAGCTCTTACTGTTAAATCACTCGTGTGGGGACCCTGCCCATCCCGAAACCACAGTCTCTCCAACCATTTTATTGATACGTCACACACCACATGTCTAGATTATTAGGCATGATCTGGATATACGTGTCACATCGTGAAACTCTGTACATAGTATTGATTAAGTTTGGATATCGGCGTGTAAAGGCGATTTGTTAAGCTAAAGGCGACTGTTAAGCTGAAGGGTGGTGGTACCAGTCCAAACCAATCACAGCCTAAACAAGTTGAAGCACAAACTTCTTCGTGTGTTCCCCACACTCAAGTCGATAATGTACGTCCTCTGGTGTTCTAAATAATTGCCAACAACCTTGCAAAAATCTTTCAAATTTATAATGTTAGTCGATATTTTAGTTTCCAAATGATTTAATTTAAGTGAAAGCAGAAGCAATCAAGATTTAGGTATTGAGTTCTTTGTCGATGTCTCTTTCAGACAAGTTGCCAAAATAGTTGATAAATTCCTATACCACTTACATTATTGGATTTTTACAAATGCCCTTCGAATATGACTTATTTTGTAGTTGCTAATTTAACAACTTAAAAATACCATTTCATTTATCACTGGTAAATTTTAAAAGGAGAAAGGATAAAATGACGAAATTCGCCTCTCTAAAAAGTAGATTACAGGATTCGGATCCAGGTCTCACACGAGGGAGCGGCACGCCTTTGCCATGTGACCTACTGGGCTGCCCCTTATAATTTTAGTTCTACACATCTTAACAAAATCCGCATAAAAATACTATGTTATTGTTAAGAAAATCGTTATGGTTAAGAAAATTATTTATTTTTATTTTTGAAAATTGTCTCTCCACTATCAGAGGATCCAAACCATGTAATTTAAAAAGCCGTTCCTTTTTAAAATATAAGAAGTGAAAAAAAAAATGTACAATTCGGAGAATATAATAGTATTTGGTTATACGAGGGAATATTCATCTTTATAGAATACAACTCAACCTGACATTAGATTATTACGACTAAAGAAACTGATCTCACCGGTTTACTGATGAAGGGGAGGATATATATGAATTCTTATGAAACACATATTTATCGACATTTCTTCACTTCACATTTATTTCCCTGATTATTTTTTTCCTCCTCCTCCAAATCGAACTTAGAGACTAGACTAGCAACCGCCAGGCCCAAATCCAATCCGTTTGTTCATCACATCATACACCACGTTGAACCTCCTCTGTTGAGTATTTCCGATGATCACCATGTCGGAATCGTCTCCATTTGGCGCGAACGCCAGGCACGTCTGCGATGCGGACACCGGGTACAATATCCCCGCCGGATCCAAACTCGTCGTCGCCCCACGGTACTGGAACACCACCGTCGGTATGGCAATCGTGGTATAGCGCCTGAGATCGTAGCACGTGTCAAGAATGGAAGCTGTGGGTGCGGTAGGATAGCGCGTCATCGCCTGTCTGAACGCGGACTTCAAGGCAGAGTATGCCGTCGGA